ATAAATAAGATTTATAACAGGAAAATAATAACTGTATCTCAATTCTAACTTCTGGGACCCAGGTTCGTTCCCAAGGATGTGAAAATGGCACTTAAACAATACACATAAGATAAAAAACAGAAAGTCTATAGGAATTTAACTTTAAGAGGTCGTTGTCACCGAGACTTGAAGGTACTGAATCGAATCACCTTTCGGATAGAAAATTACATGAACAGAATATAGGATGGATATATTTACAGAAGCCTATTAAATGATATTTTTTGCATCTAATTAGGTGTCATTTATAACTTCACGATAAATAGAATCTATCAACAATTTTGTACTTAATGTTTGCTGAAATAATCACTTGCCTATGTTAATTTGATGCATATACATGATATATGTTTAAATCAGTAGAAGATTTTTTTACGTACTTGTTTTATAAAACAATTGATGATTCATTTTTTATTACACTGTTAATCAGAGTGCATGTATAATTGTTATGTTTCTGTTGTATTTGGTGATCTCTTCATCGATTTCAGGAAAAGAAGTTGAAAATGAAAATTCAAGTCTTTCAACTGCCTCTCCTACTACCATTAATGGAAACGGTAAGTTTTAACATTTCGGGCTTTTTTAGATTATTTTTGCGATGTATTGACAACAGTGAAATATTGTCATGGAACATAAAATAACAAACCCCTTGTATAAATATATTTATCATATACATTATGAAATTTTATTTTGTTAGGAGAAGAATCTAGTCCCTTGTATTTTATTTTATAAAACACGTATATATAGTGTATGTTCTATAACAAATAGCCTTAAAGACAGATGCATTTTCTTTTAATGTGAACTAGAATTTTTGTGTTAGAAACATTGGTACCATTACGTTTACTGTAAAAGACTAGATTTTGATTACGCCAATACTAGGGATTGAGTGATTTTTCTTTGCATTTTCTGTCATGAATATATCTAATCGAAAAAAGTCTGTATTTTTTTACTTGTAAATTATTGTTTTAATCACTCTCAAAGAAATTCCTTTTTTTAAAGAAGTCGGAACGATTCAAATTTCTAGAAGAAAATGTATTCAAATTAAATATATACTCATCCATTTTTGGTCAAACTGCAAGTGTGTCGCGTTTTGCTTTGATAGTTAAACCAAATATAAAGTCTGCATGTAGTTTTGTGCTGGTATATTTTTTTCATTCTAGCCGAGAGTTCATCTGAAATGTACGTTACCATCGGAGTTTGTGTGTCTGTATTACTGCTTTCTTTGATCATAGTATCGCTGGATTGTTTCTGTAGACACAGGTAAAAATATTATTTAGACTGTAGCTTTTTAAAATGATCACAAGAATATTTAAAGGCACGTTATTCCCCAAAATATAAACATTTTTTCATTCTGTAGAAATAGAAAATATGCGTTTTGTAATGTAGATAATTACGGATTTAGAACAAGTTAGACCTCTTGACACTTCGTAGGATGCCTTTTGTCATGTTTGTGACTTCTGTTTTTTTTTTATTTCTTCTTGACACTTCTTATGATTATTTTTTCATCATGTTTGTGACTTCTTGACACTTCTAATCATGTTTATATTCATGATTATTCCTTCTTGGCACTTCCTACGATTTATATATTCATGTTTGTGACTTCTTGACATGATGACTTTTATTCATGTTCTAAGTTCTTAACATTTCTTTTTTCATGTTTGTGATTTCGTGACAATTTAACGGTGCCATATTTGTGTTTCTGACTTCTTCAAACGTTTTTACGATGTCTTTTCGTGTTTTTGACTTCTTATATTTTTACACGCCTTTTGTATCTTTGTGACTTCTAGTGACTTATGTTAGTGACTTCATTTCACTTCTTTCGATTCTTTTGTCATATTTGTGACTTCTTGACATTTCTAGCGATGTATTTTTAATGTTGTCATGTCTTTAACTTTTAAACGTTCTTTAGGGATTCTTAATTTCTCTCTGTTCTTAATACTACTTCTAACGATACCCTTTTAATGTAAGTATAGCTTCATGCCAATGATATCGATGCTTTTTGAGTTTCTAAGTCTTCTTGATATTTCTTTAGATTTCATTTTCTATGATTGTGACTTCTAAACACTTCTTACCATGCCTTTTACTGATTGTGTCTTACGGTGTCAATTTGAATGTTTATGACTTCTTCACGCTTTTTTATGTTTCTGACTTTTTGACCCTTCTGATGATGTTTTTTTCTCTATATTTGTAACTTACTTCTTTTGAAGCTTATTTCATGTTTGTGACTTCTTGAAACTTCTTATGATGAAGTTTACGTTACTTGTTGCGATGCCTTTTTTCATGTTTGTGACTTTTTGATTGCTCTTTCGATGCGGTTTTTTAAAAATGTTTGTGACTAATTGGCATCTTTTACGATGACATTTTTCATAGGTTTTTTTGTATATAGAAATAGCTTTGGTAATGAAAACGTAGGAGAAATGTAAAAATATTATCTCATCGAATGTTCAATAAATTTTGTAGGGGAAACGTCTGTGTTATTAACAGATGATATTAGAGGATTATCAACTTAAATGACTTTTACGCTCTAAATAGTTGTGCATTTATCAGACATCTTATAACTTATTATACTTATAGAGGTACAAATGTATTTGTTATATGCAATTTCAGACATATCTGATGATAAAATTAAACATTGGGCGTGCTATAACAACATTACCTTGTTTTTTTTCTTAATAAAAACATGTAAATAACTTATGAACAAAATATGCTTTTTATGAACCTGTAAATGTATTTTTGTTGTGACAGAACCGTTCCAAATGTATCGAGTCAAGCGTATTACATATCACCCACATATTCCACAAGAATTAATGAGAATAATGTAACAGTTACGGACAATGATCATAGAGGCGTACAAGATGAAAACAGTGATTTAACAAGTCAACATTATTACGCCACTCCAACAGAAATTCATTATGAACAGAATCAGGAATTGCAAAGCTTCAGGAATGCAACGAGAGAAGCTAACCACAAGGAGGATCATGACACTTCAGAACTAACAAATACAGGCGCATACGAGTCGTTGCAAGAACACAATAAAGAGATGCACAACTATGAAATGCCTACTAATGTGGCGATTCAGACAGGGGCATACGACTCGTTGCAAGAAGACAATACAGAAATGCACAACTATGAAACGCCTACTAATGCTGCGTACCAGACTGTCGATGAGAGCATGATAGATGATCATGAGTATAGCATGCTTCAAAATTAGATTTATGATAATTTTGTGTTGATCATGATGATGTGGTAATGATGATGATATTATAATTATGATGTGGTGATGATGATATAATTATGATACTATTGTGTTGATGATGATGATGATGATGATGATGATGATGATGATAATGATGATGTTGATGATAATATTATCTTGGTGATAATAATGCGATATTGATAATTGATATTGGTAATTTGATGATAGTTATGATGACAAAGATTTATAGAATGTCATTTGGATGCATGTATGTTATGTATGTTATGGCCGTTAAAAGGTATAAAGCTAAAAAAAATCATAGAAAATATTTTTATGAAAAATTATTATCATTATAATTGTATTGTAAACATACTCTCGATTCTCGAAAGAGTTGTAGAATGTCACTGTTATTTATAACACGTGAACATTGTACGTAAACAGAATGAACAAAATATTTCTCGAACAAAATATTACGATGCTAATTGTAAACAGGATTTAAACCATTTTCTTAGCAATGATTGTGTGCATGTGCTATTCGCACTTAAGGTTACATACTTTTATACATGTATTTCTTTCCTACAGGCAGTTAGGTGAAATTTATCCTTAAAATTCAAGCAATATTTTTGCAGCAGATATATAGCTTTATACACATTAATAACATATTCTTTTTTATTATTTTAATCACCATGTGAACCATGTGCATGTAAATACATTACTGTTTAAATGTAGATATTGTAATTCCAAACATTAGATTAGGAATCCTTAATTGATTATTTTTCTACGTTGTTTAAAAGTCCATGTATGCATGCGCCATACCTAAGTTTTCATTTCACTGTCTTTCTATTGTAACTTCTTTGTGTATTTATAGAAAAGGTAGCACAGATAAAAAGTTCGAAGGGCATCTTTCAATAGCCGTTGCTTTTTTTGTTGTTGTAATTCTACATGCATTTTTCTGTTTTGTCAGAACATATTTATTTTTCCTTTAATGGTTCAACATGTTTGTAATTAATTTTTGATGCTATTTTTGATACTCTATGAAAATTTACACAACTCTCTTTTTTAACGTAACATGTGTGTTATTATAATCATGTGTATGTGTTGAAATTGTATATACAAAAACAATATTTATGGATACCACTGGAGACTGGAAATATTTTTCTGATTGTTTTTTACCAAATGATGTAAGTCTGGACTTGTGTACAAAATTTAAATACAGTTCCTCGCCTCGTTTTCAGAATAATCGTTTGTATTGTGCGAATTGACCCAAAAATGAAAAGCGTTGCAACGCTTTTCTCTCAAATCCGGTTTAGAATTGCTCATAAATGTATTTTCTTTTTAATATTGAGTATACTTCATTTTTATCCCTTATAGATTTTTCCATTTTATGTGATTCATTTGATATATTTGTGAAATTTTCAAATTTCATGTTTTTAAGTCTATAGGCTCATTAGGTTATATTTTTCTGGTCCTTCGAGATCATTGATGCCAGCACTATTAAGTGTTGAGAACTGAGTACCGCTTAAGCCGGTGCTAGGGGACGTGAGGAATGTTGCAGTGTTCATTATCCCTCATGAACAGACTCAATCAAAGCGAGTCTGCAATTCTCTTGTAATTTTGTTGTGACTAATGCTTCCGAGGGATCACTTTGTTTCCAGATTTGTTTTTCCTATTTTTTTAAGTTTAATTATTTGCTTGTGAAGGATATAGTGTTAATCACTTGAATGACATATCTCTATCATAGTAAATATACACAAAAATAACAAAAACAAGGATATGTTTTCTTAATGTTGTTTTACTACTGAAATTAAAAATGTAATCAATTTTATAAAGATATGACAAGGATGTCACCTTAAAGTCGTTCACTTGTGCTAAATTTACGTAACAGAGTTATTTTGTCCTTGCAATTTTTTCACTTATCGTCGATGTTTCATATATAGATGATATTGAATGAATATAAGTTCAATACTGACTTTACTTGCGAGCATAATATCATTTTTTTTCAACGAGTTCAATAAGTTCAGGAAAGAACATATACAAATATAATATTATATTTATCATATACCTAAAATAAAGACTGTTTAAAGTGAAAAAAAATCATTTTTCATTTACGCTCCTTTAGTGTAACGCTAACATTTAACGAGTCTTAATACAAGACACTGGATTTGTATAACGCAAATAACATCACGAGAAAATACATGCACGGACATGGAATACCATTTTAACGGAGTCACAAAAGCGGCATGGGTAATACATCGATACATAAATATACATAAATGATCAATGTTTGTCAAAAAATAGTTCTTTAAATAGCGTTGTTTTTTTTACCTGGCAAATAGTATTTATAAGACAGTATAAATAGGAACATTTTCCATTTTAACTGAATTGAAATTAAGACCTATTTTTACAATGAAAACACATAGTTATTTTTAAACATTACTTGTGAATTAGTAGACTCCTTGGTGATAGTCGACAGACTTTGTATAAGTCAGATTGTTACAAAATAAATCAAGCGGCAAGTTACATACACATTCAGCTAACGGACATATGTTAGAAACTAGAAGCTGGTATTCACTTATGAACCGAACAGGGTTCTAATGCCAAATTGGAAAGAGGACAATGGAAAATAAATAACAAAGAAAGACATACATACACAGAAATACAAACAGTCAATTGAATTTATGGCACGTTATACCAAATTGATATAAAAAAAACTTTGTCATTTTTGTTACTGTTTCTCCTGAACACCATACACGTTATCTGTTTTAAACTTTCTAACTTCAGGTCCAAGATGATTATACTCATTATCTTCAAGTTCTTCACCTCGATTGTAGATGTTGTCTGTGTGTCTATCATTGTAACATGTTTTAGTTACCACGATACTTTTACCATACATTTCATCAATCTCATCTTGACTTGTTTCTGCCCGGTTGCTTTTATTAACAGCTTCGGCATGATCATAAGTAGCTTCAGCTTGGAGTTGGTTATAAACATTGTCTACTGAAACTTTTTCATATTGTGTAATATCTTTTGTGGTATCATACGTCAGGTCACCTGCTGCTGTATCATATGATTCATCAATGTTGACATCTTGGTACTCTACTGGTTCAAGAACAAAGTAGTTATTGTTTCCATTATTGTGCTCTGAAACTTCATGGTCATCTTTCTGATCATCGACTGTTGTTTTCGTTTTATTTCCTTTATTCAGAGCATTTCTGTCTTTGTGTTTATTGCTAATGAATATAATACATGTTCATAATAAGAAAACTAAGTCCAAACATGAAAAGATAAAATGGGACTTCTGTAAGCTTTCAATAGTTTCGGCTTTTGGTCTTAAAAGAGATAAGAAATGGATATACTGACAGTAATGTGTGTAGAAACGCAAGTAAATCAAATCGAAACAAGGTAAGGTATTTTACACAAATCTTCAGATTCATATGCAGAATGGTATGAATTTTAAAAAATGTGACTATTTCACAGTAGCAGATCTTAACAAGCAGAATGAAAACTGCATTATAGAATTCATTTAAGTTTTGAATGATCTTAGAATCTTAAAACAGAAAAATAAAAGCGAATGAGCTCGTTCAACTACTTTTTATCATTACTCTAAATTTTGCACGATCAATCAAATGGTAGTCATTTAGATGGATAGTAGAAACGATAAAGCTTTGCTAAACTTCACTGTGAGTTATCTGTTATTGAAACAAGCCAAACTTTTACATTCTAATTGGATATAACTCGAAAAACGATCTCGTTTCCTTGTTTATGTTATCATATTCTAAGATCAAGCCAAATTGAATGTAACTACTTTAATAAAGTTTTTCATTATCCCTAAGTCTATATGAAACTGTACCATTTATACGTCCTAAACAAGCATAAAAACGAAAGTATTCATAACAATTCATAGCCAATTATGTACATGTTTGCATCACATAAAAATTGAATTTCTGATACTAGTAAGCAAATATTTTTCTCGCAAATTCCTATCATTTCAGTTCATTATTAAAGTATTCTTATAACATTTAAATAAATGGTTTACCTTTGCCAACAGAAACATGCCAATGACACAATAATCAAAGACAGCAGAACCAAAGAAACACATACTCCAATAATAACGTATTCACTAAACGGACTCTGTCCTACAATGAAAGACAAAACTAAATTTATAGTAATACAGCTTTGTTGTAAAACCTACTAAATAAATAAAAAGCCATTTCAGTGATATTTTCATTTTGATTGGGTCTTACGTCGCACAAACAAAGTAAAGGTCATATGGCGACCTTTCAGGTTCACTGGTGGAGATTGACCTCAGGTGTCCTTTCGTGCATTATTTCAGGAACGAACGGTCGTTACCTATGTAGAACCATCGACGGAACGTAAGATTGCTGGATAGCATCCTCACATGAAAGAATCCAAAGTTCCTTGCTTGATTCGAAACTACGGCTGTTGAAGTCAATAAATTTACTCGATTACGGACGCCAGCTACACTCTAACTTGCAGTCTGACCTGACCAGATTTTCATACAATGTGATTACTGTTTTTGATCTTGAAATTTGAAAATTTATAGTAATTAGTAACAAAATTCGGGAGACGTTAATTTCAAAATGTATAAAGAACATATGTATTTACGCTCAATTATAGTCAACTTTTTAAACGCTGAATGAACGTACATTTACATAAGCTATAGACGAATAAACATTTGTACTGAATATGAAAACGGTGTGCTTCTTGTCTAAACCATATTTTTCAAGAATCTTGTTTTTCAACTATCGTTATATTGCCAAAAAAGATTTATTTCAAAGAAAAGTGTTAACAGGATGCTTAAACTTTACCGTTTATATTTATGGTAGTGGAAGAGACATTCGAGGGAATGGTTGTGATTGTTTCTGTAGATGACAATGACTTTGTTGAACGAGTTAATTTTTCTTTTTCACCATTTTTCCCTGAAATCAAAATACAATGCAGTAAACAATAATGAAACATTAACCTTTATTTTGTTCTTAAACTGTGAAATAGTGGAGAAAAAACAACAACATAAATAGATGGACAGAATATATCATTGAGATTTAACATTAGATAACTTAGGTGATATGTGATGTTTTATTGTTGAAGAAAATGTACTTAAACATTCGATTTTAGGACTTAAACACTATCATTTATCATCCATTTATTATCAACAGTAAGGAAAATCCTGGAAAATGGGCGATCCCTCGGAAGCAATAACAGCAATAATATAATATGAAAATTGCAAACTCTCTGTGAATGAGTCTGTTCATGACAGATAATGTAAAAGGGCAAAATCTTTTACACCCTCTAGCACCAACTTGAAAGAAAATCAGAAAAAAAGTTTACAGGTAGATTTGAAAAGGTTTCTAAACACGCATTTAGTACGGAAACAAAGCCTTGTTTTGTTTTGTTGTTGTTGTTTTGTTGTTGTTATTATTATTATTATTATTATTTTTATTATTATTATTCATTGAGCAATCTTGGTGGTCAGTAACCAATACATCTTACTATTATATCAACATCTGACCCGCATATTTAACTAAAGTGGTTTATGTTGGTCGTCCAATACAAATAACAAGAAAGTACCATATTAAAATACCATAACTACCATGCTTTCTTAAATAACTGAAATAATTTTAAATAATCTTTGGTAGACGCCCACCGAAGGATTAATTCTGTGAATTAATATCAAAAGAAAAACACTCTGTATGCGATGTGTCATCATTGTCATGTTCAATTTTTATTTCACGAAGTTATGAAATGTCGTCGTTTACCCGCTCCCTGACATGGAACTGTCTTACATTTAGAACCAGAGTTCTCATTAGAATTCCAGAATTAAAAAGAGAATCGCCTTTATAAAATTTTGATTTTGGCCCAGTAGTTTAAAATACGAAGTCGGATAACAAATACATACGCCAACAACTGCGACGTACATATGGAAATCAAAATTGCCGACGGACGCCAACACGTGCGACGAACAAATGGACATCACAATTGTTGACGGACGACCACACGTGCGACGTACAAATTTCAATCACGATTGACGACGGACGCCCACACGTCAACGTACAAATGACCATCACAATTGTCGACAGACGCCCACACCTGCGACGAACAAATGTCAATCACAAGCTTACCACAAGCACTGTGTTCTCAGAACAGCTGAAGAAAACATAATTAATTGAGACAGACGTTTTTTTGGTTTAACTTAATATAATTATTTGCACTTAAATAAGATACGTTAAATCTAATTTGTACCGTCATCACAGAGTCTTCTATGGTTGAAATTTATTTCTGTAAATTGCAATTTCACTCCGTCTTCAACATTTCCAGTTAAGTAACCATAAAAATTTTTATCCTCACGTCGTTCAGCTGAAAAATGTAAGGCACAGTTATTTCTTTAAAGTATATCTGTCAAATGATTAACAGAATTATATGTACATTTAGTTAGTTCATAAGTGCCAACAAATATACTTTGTTCATTTCACCATTATTGTTCTAAACAAATGCAAAATGAGCATAGAACTAATAATTATATAAATGATTAACTTTTATAAAATTAAATATAACAGTTTCTTCGCTTGTTTTTCTCATAAAAAATGAAATTAAAAGAAAATAATATATTAAAATAACTGTTCATAATACGTTTCATTCTTAGTTTTAAACTTCTATTGGATATTATTTTGGAAAAAAAAGGTTTTTTTATCAAAGTTGTAATAAAAAAGTTTTATCACCAGGAATGTATGAATCATATTTGTAAACTATTTTTGTTTTAAACATCCCAGTCCACAGTTGAGACCCGTCGTGTCGATGTACATCCTTTGCATTTGAATAATCTGTTGGAAACATTTTATTTGTAAAACAAACATTCGCTGCATCAATCCATGTCAAGTATTGTTGACTTGCATGTGTTAGGTTTAATGTTTGGACACTACCTCCTATTCAATAGATGAAAAAGAAAATAAATTAAGCGAAAGATATGTGTAAGTTCATTCAGCAAATGATTATTCAATTCAATTTTCGGACAACAAAATAAAAATATGAAATAATAATAAAAACCAAAACATTTTAGGCACCTTTGCCGGTCAAAATTAATTTGCAACAAATTTAAAGTCAATCTAATAGCTTTCTTTGGTCAACATTTAAAGTACCTCATAATTTTGCAGCAAGTAGTGTACATTCAACTATACAAATAATAATATAAAAAATTGGAATCAATACCCAATTTACTCATCTTTTATAATTTGCTAAATAACTACAACAGAAACTTTATTTCCAGTTGAGGTCTCTTGTAAAATTTCGTTTCGAACAAATAAAGAAAGAAAATTCAATACTTTTTTAAATATATATAATTTGTTTTTGGATAAATATTTAGCAAATATATCAAGAGAAAGACTGATAATTGTTTTCTATATCCCCATGATAAATACAAGCATTCTGACATTTTTAAAGCTGGAACATAAAGCTGAAGTAATACATTTCTAAGTTTTATCCAATTATGTTATCATTAATATTGAGTATGTTTGTTTATATATATGTATACTATTGCAAAATTTGGTCAAATGCGTTTACAACATTGACGGTTTGTTCATATTTCAAAGGTAAAAAAACTTAAACACAATGATTTTTTTATAACGATTCAATGTATACTTAACATTTGCACACATTGGTACTAAGGCATGGGTACATTTAACCCAAATAAAGCTTTTCGTAACGGTAGGATTCAACGATAGACAGTTATGTTCCTTTCCCTTTGCATTGAGTATTGCACTAGCTGTAACTGAAATAAACCAATATTCCAACATAATTTTAAATTCTAAGTGTCTCATCGTATGTAACTGTCCAGGCCACAGGCACGAGTATCGGACCTGGGAAGAAAAAATATGACCAGATTGATAAAAAAAATATGTGTTCATCTTAAAAGTGTCAAAAAAAACCCAAAAAATTTAAATAATGACCCTCTTTAAAAATATACTATAAGTTAAGAGAAGGCCGGAAACTCCAGATTCAAGCCTACGAGCAAGGGATTCATTTCCCGGGCCGTTGTGAAAACAATTGGCCAGAGAATTAAATAAAACTTTTATCACTATTTCACGTTTATATTAATATTTTCAAAATGAGACCAACCCCAAGTCTCTAGCCCTTCCCGTTCATGAAATATCTATCAGGAAACGAGCGAATTCGTGCTAAAAATCCTTGGTAGACAGACTTGCGGCACAACAATTCGGTACATAAACATAGACTAATACATGTATGTCAGCTGAGTACGGGTCAAAATCACTTGAATTTACTAAATAATATTACTAAATACATTAAGTTGGACCACTCACAACCGTCAGTAGCATCTGATACACGCAAAATTCGAATTTCAAACCTTTTCACGGTCTTTACATTCCTTTCTACGCCATTGTCAATCAGCTGTTCGATATTTTGTAACGAGTCTTCTGATTGGCCAATAGCAACGAAAACCGCAACGTTTCACACAAGGATGCCTAATGGCATAGAAAGCGATTGAAAGACCGTGTAAATGTTTGAAACTCGAATCTCGTGTGTATTAGATGCTCCTGACAATTGTGAGTGGTCCAACTTAATGTATTTAGTAATATTATTTAGTAAATTCAAATGATTTTGACCCGTACTCAGCTGACATACATGTATTAGTCTATGTTTACGTACCGAATTGTTGTGCCGCAATTCTGTGTACCAAGGATTTTTAGCACGAATTCGCTCGTTTCCTGATAGATATTTCATGAACGGGAAGGGCTAGAGACTTGGGGTTGGTCTCATTTTGAAGCTTAATATAAACGTGAAATAGTGATAAAAGTTTTATTTAATTCTCTGGCCAATTGTTTTCACAACGGCCCGGGAAATGAATCACTTGCTCGTAGGCTCGAATCTGGAGTTTCCGGCCTTCTCTGAACTTATAGTATATTTTTAAAGGGGGTCATTATTTAAATTCTTTGGGTTTTTTTTGACACTTTTAAGATGAACACAGATTTTTTTTATCAATCTGGTCATATTTTTTCTTCCCAGGTCCGATACTCGTGCCTGTGGTCCAGGCTTGGAGTCGTAGATTAGCAGTAATATAAACAAGAGAAGCTGGGACACGTAATAATATCTCCAGCTAGCGTACGGAACATCGATGGTGCTGGTCAGGCGCCCTTTCAAGCCCGAAATAATGCACGGAAGGGTACCTGAGATTTTTCAACACCAGTCAAGCTGGAGCGTATATGGCCTATACTGTGTCGGTGTGACGTATAACCGAATCATAACAAACAAAAACAAACATGATTATAGATGATGATATCGTGTCAATGACATTCAACGTAACGTGTTTGTAATAAAGCCCTGATGAATATTTACTTCATTCGTAGCCGAATGTGTGTATGCATAATAACTAAACCGGTACAAATATAGAGAAATTCTTATATTGCGACTAAAGACGCCCTGTTAACCTCTGAATATCGTGTAATGCATTGGTAGAGAGCCTTTATTAAACTTGATGGACCATACTTATCTGTAAATTATATTTCTAAACATTACTATGATACATCTCGGTGACATGGAATAATATTAAGTAATGCCGTAGATATATCGAAGTAACTTACCACTTGGGTTCATTTTGTAAATTGATAGGAAAGCATATTGCATTGACGTACTATCATAACCGCACGAAACAATAGGGCGGTTACATTTGTGAGTACAGTCTGTATGTGTAGGATTTCTTAGCATTATGTCTGAACCCAAACAGTAACACTGAAATGCAAAGCAAGCATGGTAAAAATGTGACTGACAAAAGTCAGAATTATAACATTTTTTGTCGTTAACTTTTATTGTTGGTTTTACAAATATATATTGGATAAGTGAAACATTTTCAATAAAGGTAATAGACATGCACAATACCTTAGACATGCATGGAACTAATTTGGCATGAAATCTGTTGCCTTTTCCTAGCTTTGCTTTTTGTTTAATAATGGTGCACTCCACATTGTTAATAGGTGGTGTATATCGGTCATAGACTGATCAAAGACTGGCCATTTACTTCAAAATATACTTTTTCTTTCATAAGATATTATTATATACAGTGTAACTTTGTCCCAATTAAAAAACTGTATTTAAATTAATTCTAAAAAAAGTGGATCAAAAATAAAAAAAAATGTCAAGAGATTTCAATTTGTTTAACTTCTGTATTAACATTGCATTTAATCAACAATAACACTATATTATCAACAACTTTTCGTTAACTGTCATGAACAACTCGATAAACATAATTACTTTTGTTGCATTGTATTCAGTTCAGAAAATCTCTAACACAGAAAGACCTTTCTAACGTATACTTCCACAACCATCCCAATAACTATATGAAAGATATATACATTTTATACATGTCTAAACATATGAAATTGCTTGAAAGCAATATAAATTATAACAAAATTTACCTTTGTGTTTGTTATTCCAACTATAGTGTGATCACCACATCCTGGAAAACAATGTCCAGGTTCACCATTTATTTCAACAAAGGGGTGTTGTTCGTTGTTTATGACAATGCTTTCCATCGATACACATCCTAAATATATAACATATCGCTAATAAACAGAAGATTTATTGTAAAGTGATACGATAAGAGTAAATGTAAAATAAAAAAAGTATTATAATTGTATATTTAATCTATGTACATGTAGATTACCGGATTATATATCTGGCGTAGTCAAAAGAAAAATCTCCTCAATTGTTTAACCCATTACCAGATATCCAGATATACACGCCTTTTAACGCCTTTTTCACCCCCCCCCCTTTCGTTGTCTCAAATGGTGAAAAAATGTCTTATTTAGGCCCCCACACTTGTTTTTGTTTGAGACATGCCCCCTATCTAAAAGATACATCAGTGGGTTGCTACAAGGGGGGTGTGCCCCCTTCTGTTTGATAGTATGAAGGGGGCGGCATCATCGCCAAGAAAATTTTATTTTGGTCTTGTCAGAGGCTTAGAATGACCCAGATCGATCATGAAGTATTGTGTAACCAACGCTGAAAAGCATTTGACCCTATCTCAATCCATTCAGAAGTTGCAGTACTTTGAAATCAATTTTGATAGGAAAAAAATCAACAAAAATTGATTTTTGACAATTTTTAGATGTCCCCTCTTTGTCATGGTAACAGGAAATTTAAGACTGAGCATGTTGTTATAAAGGTAATTGTCCAATAAACATTTGTACCAAGTTTGATTAGTATTGAAGCTGTTTTGCTGTTTTTATAGTTTTATAGCCATTTGAAGTTGGAACGGAAGACTTTTCACTGAAAACAGTCCTTTTTCACAAAATGCTCATGCAGAAAAGGGTTTCCGCATTATCTTCTATTTATGATTGAAATATTTGTTATACAAATTGTAAATTTTTTTCAGAATTTAACAGTGTCTTTTATGTACCAGCCAGTGTATAACCAGAATTTCTTTTACAATTTATGCGATATTGCATGTTCCAGGATTTATAATGGGAAGTTTAGTTTGAAGCAGTATGGTCTGCCGAGCCATATTACACATCCATTTATTCATTCATTAATATGATAAATTTCCAAACAAGAATAGTGCATGTAATGAACAGGTTCAATTTTCCCCTAAAGAATTTACTGAGAAAAAAGTTTGACTGAGTAGTTGATAAATGGTATACTCTGAGATACGGCATAATCATATGAACTAATTTTTTATGATAGCAGCAAAGCCAATCAAGAATACATTAATTTTCTTTGTTTATATATTCGTTATTAAAGTGCAAATATTATTTCCCATAGAAGCAAAGTCATTCATGACATCGTTATTGTAATTGCAAAATTGGTTGGCTTTTGGCTAACAGCATCATGAAAAAATTGGTTTTAACTTTTCGTACTTACCTTAACTGCTTATATTTTTCATTTTGACTTTTTATAAGAAGCATTATCACCACCACCACCACCACCACCACCACCACCACCACCATTATTATTATTTTTATTATTATTATTATTGTTATTATTATTATTATAATAATTATTATTATTATTAGTTGTTGTAGTAGTAGTAGTACATTGTACTAGTTTTATTATTATTATTGTTATTATTGTTATTATTACATTTGTATTATTATTATTATTATTATTATTATTATTATCATCATATTAGACTATCATTAATAATTATATATTGGCAACTCTCGTAAGTGATTTTATGCTCGTTTTTTTTCACTGCCAGCCATATTCAGTCAAATTAGTAATATATTTCAAAAGATTGACTATCATAAGGCTGATTGGCCAATAATGTACTATGAAAATGTTTATTATACATTGAGAAAACGACCTATATTATAAAAATCTGCTCAACTTTCTTGAAGAATTTCTAAAATTACTGACATATTATGAAGGATATGTTTAGAATTTTCCGTTGGTCACATGGATTATTAACTATCTTTCTTAGAAAATATAAGATTGAACACAACTGTGGCAATATATTTAGTAATTTTGATTTTTACCTGGTCACTGACCATTTACACTTTGGATGGCCATTGCTTTTGTCACTTTTGGGTATATTGCCCACATGTAGTGTGTAATAAAATCTTTTATTATATAACGAGAAACTCGTTTATGTACGTGTTTTGTTACAAATATATATTTCTTCTTCAAAATTATACATTGCTAAGTAATATTTTCAGTACTTGGTTATAATATAAACATTTACTAAATGACATATATAAATTATTTTTACTTACCTATATACTCAAATACTCTCACTACCTGGTAATAACCGACCCATACTTTGTCATTGAACGGCAAATCTACATCAAGACTTTCATCAAGGTAATAATTCATGTCAGTACCAACTTTTACTTTTGGTGTGGCTGGAATACAACCATTATTGTAACCTGACCAGACAGAGGTGTCAGTAGGTATGTAGAACGTACCTTTATAATGTAGAAACAAATATACCTATAATATACTTATATTTCCATAGTTTATCTTAAATTGGAGGAAAAAAACAAGATGTTAGGGTAAAATCACCTTCAACATATTCTGTTTCGGTAATTTCCTATACATTCTTTTTATGATTACAGCTGTAAAGAACTGACCTTATCTTTTTAAACACAATATCAACAACATACAACCATACATTATACTAGCAATAACTGAAAAAAATGGCAAAAATCAATAAACACAGCAAAATCACTAATAATAACCTTATTCAAATCAAATTAAGATGAAGAGGTTTCATTTTGAAAATGGCCCCTTTATACCCGCCTTTTTTAAGAAATTGTCCCTCTCTTTTAACTAATGAGACCCCAGAACAATTTTTGTCTCGTGTACTCATTGCCATAAAAAGCGGTTGTTTTATCTTACTATTAACATAAATTTATTAGAGATAATGCACTTTGACAAGCTTTGTACTGAAAACAAATTTATGGAAAGTAAGAAACTTAGTGTATGACAAACGTGACGCAATGCAAATTTGTTGATTTGCGCATGTTAACAAAGATATACAAAACATAAATGTTACTAAAATAACTCCCTTAATTGTTATCTAAAAACAGGTTGCAAAAAACATATATAACTTGAGATACAGATACTATTAATGAATTAATTAAAGTACATAACATTAATATCATTACCTTTACAACATGACACTGACAACAGAACGAAGAATGATAAAGTTCCTACCATATTGTATTGTCTAATTTTCTTTTAAATTTTCATTTATATCATCAAGTCAGTTAAACGTATACTCTAAACATATCTTTATTTGATTAACTGATGAAACGGATGTTATATACATCATTAATTAATTACTCCTTACGAACATAGTTGAACAGTTGCTTTTTAAACCACTTTACAACCGACATCTTTACTTCCTGATATAAACATTTGATATTAACATGTCCCTTGAAACAATATTTAATTTATCCCTTCACTACGTGTAAATTGCTACGTAATTATTGAAGCGATCTTAAACGTGCATTGTTGCATCAGGCATTTGATCAAAACAACAACACAAATAACAAAAACCACAAAAACATTTATGTGTGTAATATGCTAATTTTCTAATAAATTAATAAGAATTGAAATAACACTGATACAATTTATATAACGCACTCATTACATATTTTTAACGTTTTATTCAGATATAATTATTCCGCCATAGCGGTTAAGTTCACTCAATCGTACCCTCACCATTGTGAAGTCTTGGTTTTATATGAACTCTACTGAGGTCAACTGATGTTTCTTCACGTTTATTTTCCCTCATCCTAAACTGAATTTGCAAGAGAGACAATCCAATAATAGGAAGGTGTATGTCCAAAGCAAAAATGACATTTACACAAGGTTAAAATTTATTTGCTTGCATGAATTTTTTTATATCACATTGTACTTCAATATGCAGTATATTTTAAAATTAGAAAAAAGTCATTGGCCCCGAAAGAACACCTGCTTTACGAACGGCTTATTAATGGTTTATTAACTTGCTTGTTAACAGTAGTATCTTTGTTATGCTATTAATTAAATTGCGATTTTAATTGGGCTCAACACTTAAATATTTGCCAAATTAAACTCAGAAGCAAGTGCAATGAAACATTATTGAATAGACAGAGAAAGATGTACTATAAATGTTATTGAAAATGAAACCAATTTTTTACTCGCTGTCCTTCATAACCAATCTTAAAACTACGGAATGCCGTTAGGGCCATCGCCTGTGAATGTGTTGATCTGAAACGCGATAGTCGAAAGTACGATGATGAAAACGCGAAATCACGAAACTACGATGGTGAAAACGCGATACTACGATGATGAAATCACGAAACTACGATGATGAAAACGCGATAGTACGATGATGAAAACACGACAGTACGATAGTGAAAACGCAATAGTACGATGATGAAAACACGACAGTACGATGATGAAAACGCGAAAGTACGATGATGAAAACGCGATAGTACGATGATGAAAACGCGACAATACGATACTACGATGATGAAAACGCGATGAACTATCGTGTTTTCACCATCGTGCTGTCGCGTTTTCACCATCGTAGTTTCGTGATTTCGCGTTTTCATCATCGTACTGTCGAGTATCGTGTTTCAGATCAAACCATTCATAGGCGATGGCCCTAACGGCATTCCGGAATGCCGTTAGGGCCATCGCCTATGAATGTGTTGATCTGAAACGCGATAGTCGAAAGTACGATGGTGAAAACGCGAAATCACGAAACTACGATGGTGAAAACGCGATACTACGATGATGAAATCACGAAACTACGATGATGAAAACGCGATAGTACGATGATGAAAACACGACAGTACGATAGTGAAAACGCGATAGTACGATGATGAAAACACGACAGTACGATGATGAAAACGCGATAGTACGATGGTGAAAACGCGATAGTACGATGATGAAAACACAACAGTACGATGATGGAAACGCGAAATCACGATATTACGATTGTGAAAACGCGAAAGTACGATGATGAAAACACGATAGTTTATCGTATTATCATCATTGTACTGTCGTATTATCGTGTTTTCGTTATCGTACTGTCGTGTTTTTATCATCGTA